GAGCCACGCCCTCTGGCCCCTTTGGAAGATGTGGCCAAGATTTATAACCGGTGAGTCCCTACGAAAAGGATGACTTGAAGTCAAATTATAGGAGAGCGAGATCGAAAGGGACATGGAACAAGGAAAGGAGAATGTACCAGATTGGGCAACTTCACAGCGTGGAGAGTTCTGAAGCTTTCCTTCAAGGGTCTCCTGGGCCTTCAGTTGCAGCACCCGGTTGAGTCGGCTCCAAACTTCATCCTTTGCCAACTCCACCAGCGACACATGGTCGGGGTCCGTCGGGCCGGAATACAGCCACATTGGCCGTGTCCTCCCCGCCAGCGGGGCGACCTGACGGTGGAAGAAGGTGTGGAACACCCATAGCCCATCGAGGCCATGCTGCAACAGCTTCTGGAGCTCTACCCTGATGATCTCTAGCTTGTTCTACCAGCTGGAAGGGCCCCACGACCAGCTCTCCCACCTCTCTGGCCTTCTACTGGTGAACGGCAGGAATGGCGCCTCCGCCGGGTTTCTGATGTAGAACCATTCCCCATGCCACCCCCGATTGGAGTCGCAGGGGGTGTACGCGAGGTAGGAGCCCGATGCACTAGGCTTCTTCTGTAGGGCAGCCCCCAACCAACGCGGTCCTAGGCAGCTTCCGCTCCGACAAAACCCGCCCGGTGAAGATCCATCGGAAGAATCCACATGTGGCTCCATCCCGAGGAAGGCCTCGCAGACAGTCACAAAGCCGGCGACGTGCAACACCCCAGTCGGATTAAGGTGCTACAGCTCTAGGCCCCACTCATTGAGGAGCCCGCGTAGGAACTAGTGCGTGCTGTATCCGAGCCCATGCTCATGGAAGGCGAGGAAGGAGACGACCTTGCCAGCCCAAGGTTGCAGGAAAGCCTCCTCCGCAGGAGCCCTCCAATGCGCCACCTCCTTCGGCGGTAGCAGTCCCTTCTCGGTGAAGGTAGCCAGCACCGTCTCATCAACGTTGGATTGCCTCCAGCTCGATATTGCGCTCTGGATTCATGAACGGATCTATGAGTTCTCCTCTCCCTCTCTCTACCTATTTTCTCCTAGGAACCACCGCGGCACACGAATGCTCTTGGCGAGAAGGAAGAAGGAGGAGAGGCAGCAGTTGAGGAATAGGCAAAGGAATAGGACAAAAACCCACTCCCTTCCCCTATTTAAGGAGGAGGCGCAGCAGTTGGGGAAAGGCAAAGCATTGGGGCAAAAAAACCCTCTCCCTTCCCCCATTCAATGCGGATGGGATGTGGTGGGACACGTCCTGGCCGATAGGATGCGCCCTGTCCAACCAGACGGCGCCTGGTTGGACGGGACGTGGTCTGGGCATGGCCCACCACTACCGCACGATGGGCGCAGGAAACAAGGCGCAACCGCGCGCAGGCGGCCCTCCGCCTTCCCAGGCAGGACCTGGAAGGGCCTAACGACGGGATCTCTGCTAAGGAGAGACCAACGGGCTTCCTGAGTCGATCAGACGGCTCAGGTGAATGCCGAGAGATAGGTAAGGAGCAGAGGGATGCCCCATGTGGGCCATGCCGACTCCGTCATGAACGACAAGCACGGATCCCATTCGAACATTTCGATAAAAGCTCCCCGAAACCCGTCACTCGAGTTATCAAGGTAACTTTACCAAACCCTCTTACTTCATTTTTCTGATGCATGATCATTCATTCATCCATTCTTATACACGCATTCACACATTCGTTCATACAGTCATTCATTCATCCCATACATCTGAAGCATCGCATATGCAATTAATGCATCACAACGCTCCGTGTTGCGTCACGAAGCGGTAGTTGCCTCATTCAACATGAACAACGACCGACCGAGGTTCAAAGGCCAGCCCATGAAGGGCTCGAGGTCACCTCACGTCAAACAGAGCCAAGGGAGAAAATGCAGATGAGCCCCAGTGACCCTCGCCCAATCTGCTCTGAAGCAGACAGGGTCATCTCAACCTTCTCATTCGATCCTAACCTCGAGCCATGCCCACAGAATCTCCATCGAGGGGAGGCCAGTGGGCCACCTGAGTCAGTCTCTAGAACGACCTAGGCATCTGTCGGGACGTGGGTTAAGGAGCAATGGAATGCCACATGAGGGCTATGCCAACCCCATCACGAACAACGGACCCGGATTCCACTCGAACGTGCCCGTTAGCGAGCTCACCGAGCGCATCACTTGAGCCATCGAGGCAAGCGCCGTTTTCTCAGCCCCTCCGGTTGCGGAAACCGCGGACGGGGTAACGCACGGAACTAGACCAACCCCTACCGAGCCCAACGGGGCTCAGGTCACCTGACACCAACTCGGAAAATCCACCGACTACGCAGGTCGCGGGCGGGACGCACACGGACGAACACCCCGAACTACAGTCTGTGGCCCCAGGAAAGAGTACCAAGATGCTCAGCCTCCAACCGACTCGTGATACAATTGTGCTAGAATATATATATTTATATGTATCACATGTTGTGTGGTGCCTGTTCTTATCTGTGCTGTTACAGCAAGTGCGGCAGTGCCGCACCGAGCTGCAACAACAAACCATGTTGTGCATAAACTATCATTTGCATCACGTTTTACATACTTGACACAGTATGCAGCATCCCACAGGAGCATGGATGTAGGGGGAGCCCCATCACTTTCACTAAAATGTGAATCTTGGCTTCTTATGTCAATTTGAGAATTCAATTCTCTATTCACATATTTAGGGGGAGGCTCTACACCCATGGCTCAAAAATTTTAGTATTTATTTTATATCTTTTGTAAACTCTAATTGGGTTGTTATCAATCACCAAAAAGAGGGAGATTGAAAGTGCAATCAAGCCCTAATTGTGGGTTTTGGTGATAATGACCACGTAATTAGATAACTAATGAGATTTATTGAGATGACAAACAGAGAATTTATGTTCGAGGATGCTACACGAAACGGATGAGCCCCCAATTACAAATATAGATGGCTTTAAACTCAAAGAAGATTTAAATTCTTTTATATTTTGAATTTGAGTATAGGAAAAGCCATACTATGAAGGGGGATACAATGCTTAAGCTAATATGTGCTATCAAGTGCTTAAACATACACATGCATCCTCAGTTTCACAGTCAAGACAGTCTACACTTCACTCTTACCCTTGCTGTCTTACGTGGTGCGGCACTGTCGCACTTGAAGAGAAGCATTGCCACAGTGCGGCACTGCCGTACTTGAGCCGCGGTACTACCGTGACTTAAGTGACCGTTGGGGGCTGGGGGTATTTATACCCTTCCCCTTCCTCCCCAATGGTTCTCTGCCTCTTCTTCCTTACTCTAGCTCATCCAAAACAGAAAAGAGCCTCTCTCTCTTCCTCCATTAGTGACCTTGAGCTCTCAAGCAAATCCATTGATTTCCTCATCAATCCTTGAGAGAAAAGGGTCCAAAACTCGATTAGAGAACAGCTCCATTGATTTCTCAACTCAAAAGAGCATTTGGTTCACGTTTTGGCCGACGGTTGTGTTTGTTACTCTTGGAGCTTGGCTTCTAGCCGGCTAGAGCGTCGTGGAGCTTGCCAACTTGTGTGGCAGCCCCTGGAGGTTTGTAACCATCTCTTGAAGCTAGTAAACTCACCTCTCATCTCAAGAGTTAAGTCTCTTGACTTGAGAACGAGGAAGTGATGGAAAGCCCTAAGCCTCAGTGGCTAACCTCAACAACGTGGAGGTAGGCAAGCTTTGGTGGTGAGCCGAATCACGGGATAAATCATTGTGTCACTTGTGCTTGATTTATATTACTTGTATTTTATATTGTTGGTTGAGGTGATTTCTAGGGTTTCTAGTCGATCTACTTGTGTGTGGTGTTCCTATAACTTCTAGCTCTTGATCTGTGACTATCATACTTGCAGTAGGCTGAGAAATTTCTTCGATCTAAGTTTTCGTTCACTGATTTTGAACTGTGCCTCAAAGTTGTCTGCAGGTGCGACAGTGTCGCTGTTCTGGTCCGGTAGTGCCGTCCTCCAGAGCGGCAGTGTCGCAGGATGAATTTGATAAAAGTTTGAGTGTTTGTTTTAACAAGCCTATTCATCTCCCCTCTATGCCAACCAGAGATCCTACAATTATTTTTAGATATAAAAACAACCTTAAATAAAAAAACCATAAACTATAGAGTTGCATACCTCTTTTTTCTCTATGATTTCCATATACATTTTATCCTCGTCTCAGTTCATATATAAAAGTTATGAATCTTTTGAGATGAGCTACCAGAGAAAAGACTCCATCAATTGAACTGCACGTAAGTAAATACTTCCCTCTTGTTCAATCGACGGTATTAGTAGTATAGCTTTAATGAGTGGAAGTGTTACCAAGTAAAAAGAGAGTACAATTAAGTAGCAAATGCCTTATCTTCTTTAGCTAGATGTTGTAAACATTCTACGGCTTGGTCAGAACAAGTGCCTGCGTGCACTTTGCCCTTCCTTCAAGTCGATTGTAATTTGCCGATGGCCAGCTAATAAGGCTTCTCTTTTTTCTCGAAAAAAAAATAGTACAGCTTTGCAATTTTTTTGGTTTGGATAAATAGCCCCGTTCGCGTGCCTTTAAACCCGGTTTGATCCGCTTTTTTTTCATCCGAAACCGTGTTTTTCTCTCACAAATTCCGACAGCATTCCTTCAAACCATCCAAATTACTCCAAAATTCCTCCAAGCGAACGGGCGCATATTTCTGAAAAAAAAACAATTTATTAAAAATATATAGAAATAAAAAAATCGTGGGGTGGTCAGCCGGACCATAACACGAACCTTGTTTTGGGGCCTCAAAGTATGCTATGTTACAGGCCTTGCAAACATCGGGCCGCCAGAACTCTGGCCCAAAATTTACTATCCCAGTCTGCCGGCGGTCGACCAGAAGAGCCCGAGGAAAACCCTAGCCGCATCCACATAACCTCACCCGCGCCGCCTCCCCCACGAGACTCGAGACCTCTCGCTTCCGGCGACGCCTTCCTGCTCTCCCTTCCGGTGACGCCCGCCACTTTCTCGCCGACGAGATGGTACGTCGCTTTGGAAAAAGTTGTTTACTCTTGGGCTGTCTTGATTATGGTCGGCATCGAGAAATCCTTAACCCAATTAACTAGCATCTTCGAGAAATCCTGATCAATGAACTAATTGTACTCCCTACTTATTTAGCCTGCTAGTGCTTTCCGTAGCTGTCAGGAATCGTCAGGTTCATAGTCTGACCGTGGGATTTCGAAATCTGCACTATTATGTTGTTTCTTATTAAAATGTTTGTCACGATCTTGTTGCCGGTCGGACAGTCCATTTCGACCACCTAAGGCCGTGTTTGGGTGCACTCTAATCCACCCCAATCTACATGTATTGGGATGAATTGGTGTGGAAAACTAATGAATTTTCCACCCAATCCTGATACATGTGGATTGGAGTGGATTGAAGTGCAGCCAAACAAGCTCTAAATGATCGGTACAGGCACTAAATAACTAAACAACTACAAGTGTATAGTTGAATAGGTTACTGAAGTAGTAAGAATATTGTGCTTTCTTCAGATACATGCTTTGAGTAATAATTATCATTCCACTCGAAAAGCTTAAACTTTCCAACTAGATCTTAACTATTGTTTACCATCTCCTAATTTTGGGCAGTCGAAATTAATTTGCATCAGTTGAGTTGTGCTGGTATAAACTGGTTTACCTGTTCCCTCTTCTGTCTATGCAATATATCATGTTAACCAATGCAGAGTATTGTAGGTATCTGTACATGATTTTTTATTTTTTATGTTCTGTGATGGTTTTGCAGACGAAGCGTACCAAGAAGGCAGGAATCGTTGGCAAATATGGTACAGACACTGGACTATCTTTACTCATTGTTTTGCGATCTCATGTTCTTACCATTGTATTCTGGTTGATAACTCTTTTGTTATTGCTGTTACATAGGTACCAGGTATGGTGCCAGTTTACGTAAACAGATCAAGAAGATGGAGGTCTCCCAGCACTCCAAGTACTTCTGTGAGTTCTGTGGCAAGGTAAACTCAACGATTTTGTGATGCCTTGCTTTGATAGTCACATGACAAACTGGTGGCTCATTTACTATGCATTTGTTGTGTGTCGTTTATTGCTTGTTTGCCATTTTGAAGATGCACTGTTGTTTTCTTTAAACAATTATGTGCTATTGACTTAATCTAGTATAGTAGTATCTCCTCTTTTTGGGATGACAACATGAATAGTGGGCGTACCCACTCTGTGCGGGGTTTGGGGAAGGGTATTAGTGGCAAGTCTTACCCTCGCCTGTGCAATGCGAGGAGACCGCGACTCGAACCCGGGACCTTCTAGTCACAGGCTGTAAGACTCTACCGCTTGCACTAGGCCCGCCCTTCGACAACATGAATAGTGACTTGGTTAAATATGTTCACTGCTATTTGCAATATCAAATTGTGACCGTCTTCCATGTAGCCATGTCCATGTTATGGCATTTCTGAGATAGTTCTCGCCTTATCTGAATTCTATCATTCTACTAGATAGTCGGTTAATGTCAAGATACCTTGCTAGACCTTTTCTGGCTTTTCACTGTTTTAAATGGTTTTAATGAAACTCCTTTATGAATTCCATACCATGTTTCTTTCCATTTGCTTTTTGATTCTTACTTGTACCATTGTCTTTTGTATTGCAATACTTTATAACAGTTTGCTGTGAAGAGGAAAGCAGTTGGTATCTGGGGATGCAAGGACTGTGGGAAGGTTAAGGCCGGTGGCGCCTACACCATGAAGTATGTGATGATGTCCAGTTACTCTGTTTATATTGAGTTTTCTGTGTCTCTAGTCGTCATGTGTTTTCTGATTTGTCACTTTGCATTTCCAGCACTGCTAGTGCGGTCACTGTCAGAAGCACAATCCGGCGCCTGCGGGAGCAGACCGAAGCATGAGTATGGTCTGTTTGAAAAGGGTACCTGGATTTTGTAGTTCAGCCAAGAGTCGTGAATTATGATGTTGCCATTTGCCTATTTAGCCAAATGAACAAGAAGAAATGTCCTTTCTGTAGTGACCTTGATACTTTGTACTATTTGGTTTTTCATACTAAATCGATGGTATGCAAGTACTTCCGTAATTGTATGCTTTCTTGTGCTGCCGAACAACTTTGATGTTCTTTGATGGTTCTGGTGGTGCTTAGCTGCTGCTAGCATTGAGAGCAATGGCAGAAGATAGAGAGAAACAGAGGTGTTTATGTACAAGCAAGGGAAAAAATCACGCCCCCCGGCGGCCAAATTGTTGATGATTACCAACGGTACATATCGGTGCTGTTACAGCATTTGTCAAGCGCGTACTAATAGGTTTGATGCAAGGATAGCAAATCGCCCAGAATATCTGGTATGTATCTCATGCAGAAACTTGATTTATGCAGAGCGCTTTCATCATTTTCGTTTTCTAATATTTTTTATCTTCAGAAAACGAAATTTTCCGTTCGAATGCTCTTACAAAACCATCAAGGTCAGCTTTATGATCATCGGGTGCAGTTCGACTGCTTGAACCTGACCTGCATGTTCTTGAGGTCGAATTCCCAGAGGTGCTCTTGCTGCATGATGTTGCCTATGACCGACACGCCGGGCCACTCGCCCTCCTGCACCCCGATGCACTTCACGCCCGGTTTCACGTCGATGACGTAGCTCTTCGCCGGTGGCTCCAGCCGCGCCGACCCGGCGAACTGCACCGCCAGCTTTGGGATCTCCGGCGCTCCCGGTCGCCGTGCCGTCCAGTTGTAGCAGTGCTCGAACGGGGGGAAGCTCACTTTGGGGACCCCGTCCAGGTGCCTGCTCAGGGAGGTGACCACGGCCTTGTACGCCGGGGCGGCGAGGACCGTGAGGGTGTTGCCGGAGTCGAGGATCACGCCGCCGCTCTTGGCGTCCCACACCTCGGCGGGGATGTCGAGGGCCTTGCCGGCCACGTGGATGGCGTCGACCTTCACGCCGTAGAAGGGCATCTGGGGGTCCAGGAACAGCTTCGTCTGGGTCGCCGGGGTCCGGGGCACTTGCCCTGGGCCGAAGGCGAGGTACCCGGTGGCGTTGCGCGGGGCGAGGTGGTCGACGAGGCAGTAGGAGAAGCTGCCACCGAAGCGCTCGGCGGCGCGGGTCGCGAAGGAGATCTTGGCGTTCCCCAGGCTCAGCACGCCGTCTGCTGACCGGAAGCTCTGGCCGTCATGCGAGGAGGAGCAACCCAAGACCATGCCTTTCAGCTGCGCCACCTTGCCGCCGGGCAGCGCGATGGTCGCCGACTCGGTGCCCACGATGCCGCGCGCCCCCGCCGATCCTTCCTTGTACCTGCCACGCATTCACACAGTTGGTGGTGGCATTGGCAGGAAGAAGTGATGCACGCATGGACAATGGCGCGTAATGGTGGTGGTAGTGACCGGTAATCGTAGGAGCAAGGGCTGGCCGACGAGGAGCAGTTGGCGAGGGAGAAGGGCACGTCCAACTTGCACGTGTCGGACGAACACGGGATGGGCGCCCACGACTTGGAGACCTTTGGCCGGAACACGTGACCCGGCGGTGAGGAGCCGGCGCACTTGACCCAGGTGAGGTCGCTGCCGGTGTCCGCCACCAGCGTGAACTCCTGCGCGGGCGTTCCCACGAGGAGCTTTACGAAGTACTGCCCTGTGCCGGAGTAGGCCCCCGACGACATAGGCAAGGAGACCGCGGACGACGACGCCACCTCCGCGGCAACCCTCCGGCTTCCGCCGTGGCGCGACCGGAGACGGGCGGAGATGTACAAGTGCCGGCGCCGGTCGTCCCTCACCCGCGAGGCTAAAGGCGCTCCCGGCGCAGCGGGGACAAGATCGAGCATCGCGGACTTACCGCTCGCGGCGGCCGCCGCGGCGAACAACAGGAGCGACACGAGCAGGTTGCCGCGCAAGGCCATTTCGTCGTCCTTGGCTCCTTGCTCTCCCTTCACGTCGTCTCCCTCGCACAACGGCAATGGCAGATAGCATCATAAATTTGCGGAACAGAAGCCAGCTTTGGTGTGGCCTAAATATGGCAAAGCAGAAGAAATGCATGCCATTTGCGGGCTTGCGGTGTTGTGGCATTATTGACGGGCCCTATTTAAAGCAAGCAAACTGTGTCCAATGGATGGTATTCCTTTGGCGTGGCAAGTCATGAGATACCTAAAGTAATCTTCACCTTTCTTGGTAATTTATATCTTCAATTATGTGTCCACGAACATTTAAAAAACACGCCAGACCGACAAATCTTAAGAGTTGATGCCGACAGATATTTAAAGTGTCGGTGTGAAAAAAGTGATCAACAAATAAATATTTGTAGTTTTGCTGTGTGTATTGTGATCGGATGTGGCCTAGCACTCAATGATATAGGATTTATACTGGTTCGGGCAATGTGCCCTAAGTCCAGTTTCAGTCGGTCGGTGATGACTTTATTGCTGAGCCTAGGTGCTCGAAGTTTGCTGTGGAATTACAAAGAGTATGAATGAGAAGAGAGTGTTAAAGACCTGATCAGACTCTGAACTCGAAGCGGCCAGAGGGACGGATGCTCTAACATATGCTAAGTATTGGAAAGCGTATGCTCTATGTACCTGTTGAGTTCTAGAACCATTGAGCTGTTTGAATGCTCAGGTTGTCTAGAGCCAGAAAGAACGTCCCCTAGAGAGGAGAGAGCGCATCCCCTTTTATAGTTGAAGGGGTGGCCTTACAAGTCAGAGAAAGAGAGAATGGATACGTGTGCTACCTAGTCTTGTTGCCCACGCTGTCGGGTACGAGACGATTGTCAGCGCCCACAACACTGTTTATGTCCAGACGCATGTGGCAGGGTCTACCGTGTTCGCCTTGTATGGTAAATGTCGACGCCTACAATATTGTTTGTGCTATGGCATGTCTATAAGGTTGCATAGTGCCCATCTAGCATGGCTTGGTGGCACCGTCTTGCAGGTGCGCAGGGCATGGCAAAGTACGATCCTCGATATTACGGTTGATTTGAGTGCCTTACCTTATTTGCTCCGCCTGATCTCTGGGTCCGTGTGGCAGAACCTCCTAAATTATAGGGCCCACATGCACCTGTCACTGTTCAATGACCTTTGACGACCATGCATATGTTCCCGGTAACTTAAGAAGATTGTCGGGTGTCCTCGGGGAACCCCGAATCATCCACGATTTTCGAGCAGGATCTCATTACAGAGTCATTGCAGTATTACAACATTTATTCAAATATCTACATCAGAGTAAAATAGCGGAAGTCTTACAATAACTTAGTTTACAAAACAGTTGTTTCAAACCTTACAAACTAAGTACAATTATTATTACAAACCATAGTAGTGGAGTGGCATTAGTAACATAATACAAAACACACAATTAAAGTGCCCTGCCCAAGGGCCACGCATTTACTTATCGTCATCGTCATTGAACAACAGTCATGCAGCACGATCCAAACCAAACCTCCTCATGAACCTCACCTGCAACAAGGGTCAACGAACCCTGAGTACAAAAGTACTCAACAAGACTTAACCGAAATATAAACTGATAGAACTCAGGAATGCAGGCTCAGAGATTCAAGGTATGGCTTTAGCAATAATCAAAGTTCTTTTGCGTAAAAGCTCTTTAACAAAATTCTTTACTTCAACATATAAAACTTTATAAGAACCACATGAATCTGCCATGATCCGTAATGAGACCATGAACCTCATATCAAACTCTTTCTCAAACCTTACTCGAGTTCCAGTTATTAAACTACGATGATGAACAGAGAGTTGAGTCTCCATAACCGAGGAGCAACGACGATTCGAACCGATTATAACTCAGCTAGGAATTTCAGACCACACGACATATGTAGGTCACCGATCTATATATACCAACCTACCCTCAGGTCCTCTAAAACAAAAAAGGGTCCGCGCCACCCGAGAATACAGTACTCCACCAATCCAGCCCATTGCCACGTGGGTACACGCTATTCCCGCCATCTCTCCACTCCTAGTGCGCGAGTAGCCATTCTCATAATAGAATCGCCAAGTTAAGGCTTACCGGAGTATGTGAATAGTACTACAAAGTCTCATCTCACGCAGTTCAACAACGGACGGACCTTAATCGACACAGGCGGAAAGAACCCGCTCACAAGACCTCCATGTCTTGTGGCTCTCACACACCGAGTCCACCCGGCCTAGATTTATTACTCCAAATGCTCATATTTCATAATCACATAAGTAACCAAAGATTCATTTAAAACTTGCAAGTGACAGGTAATCACCCGACTTTCATCGTTCTAAGCATAGCTAAGCATAACTAGGCATATACAAATTAAAACTGGTAACAAGGTAGATATGGAAAAAATAAGGTTGGTAATGCATCAATTAGGTTTTCACTTAACTCCTAATCACTTAATGTAGTAAAGAAAAGCAAAAGCGAAATCAATTTGTAAATCACAAGGTAGGTTTAAATGCATCCGGGGCTTGCCTTTGTTGACGGAAAAGTTAGGTTCCGAAGTCGTTTCACAATTATCAAATCCGACCTCAACATGCGGATTAACTTCTTCCACAACTTGATTAACTACCATGTGTTCACCTTCGTTCACTACATGTAGTAACAATGCCATGTTTAACATGATGCGAGATATAAAACATGATGCTTAATGATGGACACAAAAATTAACAACTTAAATATAACTTTCCTTCGCGGTACAGTTACAAGTCAAACTAACTAAACCTTTTTTGTAACACTTAATTCTATTGCCAAGGATCATTATCAACTAATGACCCAAGGTCATCACTCAATCCAAAATTCAATCAAAAACCTAAATCATTAAAGGTTACTATTTGCTTTTATGAATTAATTATTTAATTCAAAATTATGAAATAAATCAACTTGTTCCAATTGAGCTCAAAATTTTTGTAAAAGTTCATCACATGATAACTAAGTGGCAAAACAATTGTC